AAACGAAACCTGCATTGATTAGATCTGATTTGATACAAGCCGAATCTGTTACGGATTGTGACCTACTGGATGAAATACATAGGCCATCATCTAAGTAGAAAATGACTTGTAACCCCAGCTTTCTCCAATGGGTCACCAAACATTTCATAACCTTGGTAAAAACTAGACCACCTGTTGATATGCCAAATGGGAGAACGTTGAATTCATAAAACTTTCTTGAACCATTTTCTTCCCATGAAAACCCAAAGAAAGATTGATGACCTTGACAGATATCTATGTGGTGATAAGCTGACGTCACATCAATAGATATTAAACTATCGCCTTGATTAAGGTAGTTCTTTGCAGTAGTAATATCTTCATATTTTACTCTGTCTAGCTGAATAAATTGATTTGGGTGCCTGAGATCTAAAACGAGTCGTTTCTTTCCAGAAGAGTTAATTGCAACTGTTAAAGGGTTAACTACGTGTGGTATGTGCTTGACTTCTTTTACAGACCCCAAAATAACCAGATCTTTTATCTCATTTGACACAAAATCTTTGTTATCTAAGGCGGACCTGTTGTTTTTGAGAAACATTCTATTAGGTGTACTTGAGAATGGTATTTTGTACCCGTTTTCTATTATGTCTTGAACATAACTGTTTGCATTAATCTCTGACCAGAACTGTTTGTGTTTTTTCAAATTGCCTTTCACGAATATCTTATTAACTAATCTGGTTTTATCGGAAATTGTACTTAACTTTTCTGTTGAAGAACTAGCGCGTGCTGTCAGTGGTAGGGATTTTCTGTCCCGCTGTACACGTGTCGGCCCAGTGCCCCAACTCCCCGCAGGTCCAACATCCGCCTGGCTTGTATTGCGGTCCTCTACCCCCGGATCGAGCGCGCCAACCATATCTGCTTTGGTAGCCCGTTTGGTAGCCCGATTGGTAGCCTCTGCCTTGGCCGTACTGGAACCCTTCTTCACGGTTGTAGGACTGATGATCCGAGTAGCGACCCCGGTTTCTGAAAGAAAAACTCCTACGCGAGTATCTTGATTTAGAACGCATTTTTCTAATTGCGTCTCTATCGGCTGACCTTATACGCTTATCGTCTTCTAAATCACTAGCAAGAGGCTGTCTATCGTATTCCTCTACAGTTTTCCAACCGGCTTCTGACATATCAGCCATTTTAATGAGTTTATTACGATAAATAATCAAATCAATACCTTCTTGAAGATCATTGTGTGCCTGTTGTAAAAGGTCAGTTTGAGCGTCACCGTCTACGTCGATCTGAGAAGCTCTCTCCAGGAAATTCTGGGAACGTTCCATGGTGGCTTGTACTTTGACGTTGAAGTCATGTTGAACTTTGTGTCCCTTCTTTTTGAACGTGAAACTGTCGTCCGTCTTCAGTTTCTTCAGGAGTCTGGAATTATTTTCTTCATTGTCTTCCTTTAAGTCCTTTTTAAATTTTGAAAACTGTTCGTTTATCAGCTTGGACACGTCTTCCAACGTGGCAGGATTGTCCATGCTGTTTGCGTGTGCGTAATGACAAGCCTGGAGAAGTTTATCGTGAGGCGCCAAAAGCCAGAATGATAAGTATAAACCTAACAGCCTTATTTACCAGACAGCTATTCACCATACAGCTATATCAGTGAAAATCGCGTTCGATTTCAACGACACATACATGAACTACACCCCACAAAAAACTATAGAAATTATTTATATTCTAAATTCGTAAACTCAACCGAATATAAATTACAAATATTTGAGAAAAAGAATGTTTTGTTTTAGTTTCATTGCAATTTATAACCCTAATATCTTAAAGCCAGAATCCTTCCTTGTCTTCCAATTTTCTAATAACCTCAGAAGTTCCTACTTTTTAAAAAAAATACAATTTTCCATGATCATTTTTATGTCACCACCACAAGTGGTGACATATTGTTATGGTCTCAAACTTTTTTGTGGACGGTGTTCAGTGGTTGGTGTTTATCATTTGGCAGTTGGTGTTTGGCAGTTGGTGTCTGTAACAAATGGCAGGTGTTGACATTTTGCATGTGAATGCCTTGTCTTATAATGTAGCCAACTGCAATGGATGTAAAACGGATACAGTTAACTAATACATTTCTTGGCATCAATTCAAATCATATGCTAATTTTAAATGAAAATGCTTTTTTTCATGTTTTACCACTCATAAATGCCATAATATCTCGATGTCACATTCAGGAAAATATGGCTATCAACAAGTTTTGAATTCTTACAATCCTGGAAGTTGTACATGTAAGCATACACATCTGTCAGTTCAGTTTACGTGTAAAAGTTAATCCCCTAAGCCTTAATACCTGATGCATGAAATATTATGGATGAGTTACATAATATGTACTTGTGCTATTTAGGTTAATGTTGTGCTGTTTCACCAGATTTGACTGACATCTTTAAATAACAACAATTTGATTTGATGATCAGACAGCAACAAAACATATTAAGTGGCCAAGACAAAAGAATGCTATATGATAGGCATTCTAGGGATTAAGGAATGCATTCAGCTTACATAATTTGAGAAATTATTGGCATACGTAAAACCTATTTAAAACAGCATTTATCGTATTCAAAAGCGTTGAGCATCATTGATTCCCAGCCCTCTGAAGTTTGAAAAATAAAAATACCTGGGTGTTAATCCATGGATTATCTTTGAAAATGAGAAATATATTTTTGGATTACATGGTGTAATCTTAAAGTAAACAAAATGTTTTAAAGTGCATTGATGTTTTTGGATGAAAAACATAAGCGAAATTCATGAAAAAATCCCCCGATTCATTCTACAAACAACTCGCCCCCCTTTCAGATGGCTCCATGAAACGGTTTGGCTGGAAAACTGTAGACAAGATTTATCGGGATCGACTCCCGCCCGTCCGTCCGCCCACCCATCTGTCCAACCGACCGCTCGCCCACCCTACCACCCGCCAGGCAAACTGATCACTATCATAGATATTAAAATTAGACACGAAAGAGTATGTACTCAGCTAGTTATCAGCAATTGAACCCGCCCGGTCCATTGTCACTCGCTGAATTTATACAGGGTATAAAAAACAACGGCACCCCCTCTACAGCAAAAAGTACTTAAAGTAACATGGTGTGTCATATATCATTTTAAAGACAATTTAATTCTGGAGTTACCTGAGAAATTTCAGCTTTATACCTTATAATTTTACAGATTTACAGCTGATTCTTATTAGTTGGTATGACTACCAGTTGCTGCTTGAAAAGCAGCTTATCTGGATGGATATAATGTCAATAAAAATTCAAATAAAGGTGTAGCATTGCATAATCCTCTAAGCACTCTCACATTCTTCAAAATTACATCCTTACTGTATCTTTTTTCAAGAGGCTCTTTTTATTTGTCCATCAATTTCTATACCCTGTCTTTCAGAACTGAGCTCATATTATATTCAGTGCAGTTGAAATCTGGGTTAATACAGGAGTTTAGCCCAGCTAAATAGTTGAAAATACTCTATAAACAGCCAATAGATGTCTAGCCCATTTTCAGGAAAAGAATCTTAGGCCTAAAGCAGTTCCCCATTGAACCAACATGTAAAACATCACATTTATACTATGATTTTAACATCATAAAGCTACCATTTCTGTTTCCTCATTCATTCAGAAAATCAACAGATTTTTAGGTAAGATCTTATATATCATTGGTATGAAGTTTTTTAGTCTTTTAAAACAACATAAATAATGGAAAATAAAGATGAATATTGGCTATTTTGTTTAAAATATTTGGCTTGATGTTGGTCAGCTTAAATCACCAAAAATGACCTGGGGTCAATAAGTTTATATAGCCACCAGTAAGATACTGCTTGTTTTAAGTGCAGCTTGAATTACAATATTTACTATTGTCCACATACTGATACAGGATAAAAGGTTAAGTTAACTAGATAGTTAGAGACAGGCCCGTAGCCAGAGGGGGAGATGGGGGAGCGGAAGCTCCCCCCCTGGCTAGAAATTCGTTTAAAATCATGCAGTTTTTCACCATTCTGAGAATTTTTTGCATGATTTTTAGCCAAAATTGTGAAAAAGCTCCCCCCCCTCCCCCTGGAAAAAAGCTCCCCCTCCTGGTAAAAGCTGGCTACGGGCAAGAGAGACCATTCAGATATTTGATGCAGGATTTGAAAGTTTACATTCAGACATAGTTTTATAACTAATCCCAAATAATTTATTCGCAGACTCAGAAACTGATCCAATATGCCAACTTACACTTATATTTGACATCATTGAAAATGTTTCTAAAGTTTTTTCTCCAGACATTTTTATTAACGAACACTACAAAATGTAATTATAGATGTTAGATATCTTGTACTTTCAGAAGAAATACTAAGAAGAAAGTTCACATGGAATGTATGGCCCTGTAGTAACCCTTGACCAATTAGTCATTTTCCAGTTATATAACAGTTGGAAAAGATATATCTTTGATGTCTTTAAATAGATAACAATCTTATCATGACCTATGGCCCAAGAATTTTTTAAAATAAAAATAATTTTTTCAAAGAATCAGAGAAAAGGGTGAAAAATCTAGAGAATCCCCATACCTTCTATGTTATAATTTCCTGAATTTTTATCATATGACTGCCATCTATAAATGGAATTAGCTTAGGCTAAAGGGCTTATTCTTTCATATTCCACTTTCTTAAGATTTGACCTTTAACCAGTAACAGAGCAGCAAACAAAGTACCGAAGTAGCAAACTTTGAAACGATGTAGCTTTTTTAATATAAAGTTTTATCAAATGAAAATTGATAAGTAACTCCAGAATTAAATTATCTTTTAAATGAGGTATGACGCGATATGTAACACTAAGGACTTTTTGCTGTAGAAGGGGGGGGGGGTGCCGTTGTTTTTTGACACCCTGTATATGTGGTCTATACTTAAATTCTGCTATTCGGATCGGTCATTTTAGATAGCAGTAGTGATTTCATAGCACTTCGAGAAGACGATACATGTATGAATACAAACAAACTATTATTCCTACCTTAAGATTCTTTTTACATCTTCTTCATCAAAAAGGTCACGTTTACTTTTTGAGGTATTATCTGAAAATTGACACAAAAATGATAATAAATTCCAGTAAGGGACTTGATGTGATAGGGGGACTGCAGAATAAAGTCTCAGTCACATTTGGGATCGTACGGTCCATTATTCCCACGGCCAATGGAAATTCTACGGCTGCCGTGGAAATTCTACGATCATGTATTTGAGCAGTCACATTTGCAACGGTAGCTATACTGCGTATTTTGATTTTAAATGATGACACACGGTCACCGTAGGGTAGGGTGTTTCATTTTTCAAGAATGTTCTCAGATCATAACGGCCCCTTAACATGGGGTTACAAATGGTGCCAGTAGTTCACTGATTTTTATTCAACAAAATCGGATAACGTTAAAACTGGTCCGTCGGCCATTCTTTCCGTCCCATTGGATAACATTGTAGACAACGCCCACTTTTCAATGGAAAACATTAATTTGCACTTCTTTGCTTATCATTTGCCGGAAATGATTGGAAAATATTTTCCTGTTATAAGCACTTGGATATATATCAAAACACTTTCAAGTGATGCAAACTAGATTGTTCTAGCACTTTTTGTGACTGAGATATTGCCAGTCTACTAACCTGTAGTCTACTGGGGGAGGGGGTCAAAAATAAAAATTGATTTCGGCCACTTTTATTCTTAAAACATGTTTTATTAGATTTGCAAGGGGATTTTTTGTTATATTATGATACCTTTCTATAAAAATTCAAATTGTTGACAGAAAAGAAAAGATTCGTGAATTTAACTGCTAGAACTGCTAACAGTCTAGTTTACATCAATTGAAAGTGTTTTGATGTATTCTCAAATGCTTATATCAGAAATATTGGTTCTAACCATTTCCGGTAAATGAGCGGCAAAAGAAGTGCGAAGGCATTGTTTTTCATTGAAAAATGGGCGTCGCCCACAATGTTATTCAATGGGACGGAAAGAATGGCCGACGGACCAGTTTTAAAGTTATCCGATTTTGTTGAAAAAAAATCAGTGAATTACCAGCACCATTTGTAATCCCGTGTTAAAGGGCCGTTGTAATCCGAGAACATTCTTGAAAAATGAAACACCCTACCGTAGGGTGGCTCTACAGCGTAGCTTTTTGACAAATACCAAGACAGACGCAGAGCGGCTACAGGGGCTCTTACGGCAATCCTACAATTCGCAAAGGTAAATTATGACACTTAAAATCAAAGGTCAGCCTCAAACCGACCGTACGTCCGACGTACGGCCACCGTGGAACCTTTTTCGGTTTGTTAACATCTACGTTGACTGTAAAATGAAAGTTATAGGTCCGAGTTCTAATTTCTACGGCGAATTTATTGCCAGTAGAATAACTAGGTACGCTGTACGAAGACCATAGGGCAACCGTAGATATTGTTTTAATAAAAACCACTATATTTATACCCAGAAAATACTCATGGTGAAAGATATGACTGTCTAAAATCACTTGCCATACTACACGTGGACCTTACTAAGAAAACGATTCAATACCTGTCCCCATTTCTTCCCCTTTCTCGCGATCTTTGTCTTTAGTATCAGGATTAGTCATCGTATGGTCATCATCATCTGGCTCCTTGGATGTTGATTTGGTCAAATTTATCTTAGAACTTTCAGTTGCAGTGACGTCACTTACATCATCAAAGACATCATGAGAATGTTCCACTAAACAAGATGGGGTAGAAACAGAATTTTAACGATATGTGCAAAACCTTCACAGGGTTGTTCTATGACCCAAATGCCCACTTAGTAATCAAAAAATTGTAAAGAACATTAACGAAAGCAAAACCTTAGGTATGCCCACTAATATCTGATTTGATGTCAAAACAAAATGTTGAGATTTACGAATTTTCGATGTATTCATATATCTTCATCAGCTTTACATCAGCTTTGCGGGAGTAAAGATTTTTGAAAAACTCCTTCAACAGGTTCTTCATCGAAAATTCGCTCCTCGTATTGCGATGCCTTTTCTAACGTATTCTTAAGGAATTCAAAGAAATGAAAAAAGACAGTTACAGTTTTTTTAAACAAAATTCTTGCAATTGGTCTAGCAGATCATGGCTTTCTTTATTGTATTAATTCAATGGCTTAAATTATTTATATACAAGGTGTGATTCTTCTTATTTTTTCTATAAATTTTTAAATTCACAGAGATAACCATTAAATACCTGTTCGTTTATCATCTCTCTTTTTAGCCGCCTTGGTGTCATCAATGGTGACTGGTGACTCCCGATCTTTGTCTTTGGTATCAGGATTAGTCATCGTATGGTCATCATCATCTGGCTCCTTGGATGTTGATTTGGTCAAATATATCTTAGAACTTTCAGTTGCAGTGACGTCACTTACATCATCAAAGTTCTCATGAGAATGTTCCACTAAACAAGATGGGGTAGAAACAGAATTTTAACGAAATGTGCAAAACCTTCACAGGGTTGTTCTATGACCCAAATGCCCACTTAGTAATCAAAAAATTGTAAAGAACATTAACGAAAGCAAAACCTTAGGTATGCCCACTAATATCTGATTTGATGTCAAAACAAAATGTTGAGATTTACGAATTTTCGATGTATTCATATATCTTCATCCGCTTTACATCAGCTTTGCAGCTCTGTGGGAGTAAAGATGTTTGAAAAACTCCTTCAACAGGTTCTTCATCGAAAATTCGCTCCTCGTATTGCGTTGCCTTTTCTAACGTATTCTTCAGGAATTCAAAGAAATGAAAAAAGACAGTTACAGTTTTTAAACAGAATTATTGCAATTGGTCTAGGAGATCATGGCTTTCTTTATTGTATTAATTCAATGGTTTAAATTATTTATATACAAGGTGTGATTCTTCTTATTTTTTCTATAAATTTTTAAATTCACAGAGACAACCATTAAATACCTGTTCGTTTATCATCTCTCTTTTTAGCCGCCTTGGTGTCATCAATGGTGACTGGTGACTCCCGATCTTTGTCTTTAGTATCAGGATTAGTCATCGTATGGTCATCATCATCTGGCTCCTTGGATGTTGATTTGGTCAAATGTATCATAGAACTTTCAGTTGCAGTGACGTCACTTACATCATCAAAGTTCTCATGAGAATGTTCCACTAAACAAAATGGGGTAGAAACAGAATTTTAACGAAATGTGCAAAACCTTCACTGGGTTGTTCTATGACCCAAATGCCCACTTAGTAATCAAAAAATTGTAAAGATCATTAACGAAAGCAAAATCTTAGGTATGCCCACTAATATCTGATTTGATGTCAAAACAGAACGATGTATTCATAAATCTTCATCCGCTTTTCATCAGCTTTGCAGCTTTGTGGGAGTAAAGATGTTTGAAAAACTCCTTCAACAGGTTCTTCATCGAAAATTCGCTCCTCGTATTGCGATGCCTTTTCTAACGTATTCTTAAGGAATTCAAAGAAATGAAAAAAGACAGTTACAGTTTTTTTAAACAGAATTCTTGCAATTGGTCTAGCAGATCATGGCTTTCTTTATTGGATTGATTCAATGGTTTAAATAATTTACAAGGTGTGATTCTTCTTAATTTTTCTATAAAATCTTAAATTCACAGAGGCAATCATGCCTGTTCGTTTATTATCTCTCTTTTTAACCGCCCTGGTGTCATCAATGGTGATTAGTGACTTCGTGGGTTTTGGCATTGTCTCACTGATCTTTGTCTTTTCAATTGCAGTGATACTTACGTAGTCACCGATGTTATGAGCACGTTTTGCTGAACAAGGAAAAGGGGAGTTAAGCAATTTTAAACGGCGAGTAAACTATGGAGAAGAAGACTAATATGAATCTAATCACCAACCTTGATTGTCATTCGTATTATCTGTACTGAGATCTATCACGTCTTTTAATGTTGATGAGAGACCACATTTCATCGCAATGTCAGCTGCAGATTGGCCATCTTTATCCCTCAGTGATACATCCGCCCCCTTTATAATGTATCGCAGTACGTAGAACATTCGAGGCATTCTATTAGAAGGGACCCCTTTTGTCGTTTCGATAGCTAACATTAGACATGTACGATTTTGTCTGTCTATTGCATTCACATTACTTTTATATTTGGTCAGTAGTTTCACTATAGCGTCCGTATTTTCTTCGCACCTTTGTACTGTGTACGCCAAGGCTGTCAATCCATCATAGCCAGGAACATCTACCCTCGCTCCTGCCTGCAACAAGCACTTCACAATGGCCGCAGAGCAAAGGTCAATGGAATGCTGAAGCACGGTTTTGCCATCATTGTCCTTAGCATTTAATTCCGCTCCTTTATCTATTAACAACTTTACTATAGACTTTGAGCTTAACCCATTGACTGCATACATAAGTGGACTCATACCATTCCGATCTCGAATATTCACACCAGCCCCTTTTTCTAAAAGCAATCTGACGACATCATCGCATCCTTTTGATGAAAGAGCGTACATCAGGGTGGTTAATCCATTTTTGTCCTTAGCATTTACATTATTGGTGTACTCTATCATCGTTGAAACCACTCTGCATTGTACAAAGCTTTCCACACTGCAAATACAATAAAATGGCACTTATAAATAGCATTTATAACAGAAAATGACATTTCCAAATAAAAATGATGAAAACTTTTTGAATATTTGTGACATATTTCGTGGAAACGTTTAGACATTAAATTAAGGTACAGTAGTTGTATCGTTTTAAGCTAGTTGCTAGCTGGAAACACGACTTTTCGGTAATAAAAACTTTTGAATGTTATCTTCCTGAGATATTTTGCCTTCTAGATATTTTTGTTAAATTTTACTCTTAGTTGCCTCTAAAATTTCAAGCAAATTAATATAGTCAGTAATTACTCTTGGATTTATAATTATTGATAACCTAGCTATGAACTAATTTACCTGTACAATATCAAGCAAATAGATGGAATACTTGTAGAGTTACGGCCAGAAAAGGAACTGAAAACATTATTTTTCTTCAATAAAAATAGCGGCAACTTGCTGAACATATTTTCCGAAATGTTTAGACAATTATGTCCTATAATTTAAAGTCCATATGCAATTTCAAGCAAAATAATGGAATACTTGAAAGTTTGGAGTTATGACCATCAGAAAGAGCTGAAAACCGACTATTTTGAATCTTTACATCCATAACATATATTGATAACCTTTTAGATCTGCTATTTTACATTGTTGCTATATATTACTTATAATAACGCTTCTACAACTATTATTTACGTCTTCAACATGGACGACAAACTTTTATTACTCAGCTTATTTATGAACATTTAAGCTGATGAAAAAATGCGTTTGGATGAATTGTTTTTGTTGAAAATGGATGACCATGTAATTGCACATAAGGGGTTTATTCTTCCTTTCGTGATACCTAAGGATAATCATATTATATAATACGCAATTCATTAGCACCGCTGGTTGTTCAAAAACGAGGCCTTAGCTTGTATTCACAAATGCAACTTTTGGCTGTCGGCTACCGGATTAATCTATTATTTATGACCAAATCATTTTAATACGAATGGAATGTTGGCAGGTTCTATTCATATTTAAATGAGTTGCCCATTAAGGTTAATCCGGGAGCCGACAGCCGAACGTTGCATTTGCGAAGCTTAGCAAACATGCAATGCATTAAAAATATAACAACCTTACTCCTATGAGAATATGATTATATTACAATAAATATCAAGTGGTCTAATGCCGTCACTATTTAACACCATACTGATATCTACGTCTGTCATTATGGAATATCCACGAAAGTTTCGACAATTATCATAATTGAACATACCTACTAAATAACGAGTGGTGCCTGATGGCGAGCTTAAGTGCCGTGAAGCCCTCGTTGTTAGATACATGTACATCAAGATCCGCCCTTTCAAGCAAAACCCTGAATACATCCTCATTGCATTGATGGTAAATAGCATGCATTAACGATGTATCTCCGTTTTCGTCCTGATGATTTATGTTTGCACCATGCTCAAGTAACATCTCTAAGGTTCTCCCAGGAAGTTTTAGCTCAACGGCATACATCAACGGACTCACTTTTTCATGATCGGTGATATTTGCATCTGCTCCTCGATCAAACAACAGCTGAATTATATCGCGATCACGAGATCGACACGCAAATCTGAGTGGGGTCCAACCATATTCATCGCTCTGATTTACATCAGCTCGATAATCTAGAAGTTGCTTTATAACATCTTTGCTTCTATTCGTTGATATTGCGATCATTAATGGTGTTCTTCTGTAACAAAGCTCTGGGCCAATATTGGGATCCGCGCCATTGCTTAAAAGAAGATCTATGATGTCGTCTTCACAATTATTTTCAAAAGCAGTCCACAGCGGTGTTTTTTTATTTTTGTCTCCAATAATAGCACTGGCGCCACGATCTAGCAGCAATGTAATGATTTCTAGGTCAACCCCTCTTCCAAGAGCGTACAGGAGAGCAGTTTTTCCATCATAATTTGTTTTCAAGTTAACATCATCAGCCGTACTATGATCGAGTATCAGTTCTATGACATCATAATCACATCCAAAAAAAATGGCACACATTAAAGTGGATACTGTGTTTCTCATTAGCTTTGCTCCATTCTGTAATAATACTTTCAATGCCCCCGTAGTGATTGTGTTGTACCAATTGACTAATGCAAAGAATAAGGGCGACCGCAATGATTTGTCAACCGCATTTACATTCGCATTAAGGTCAATCATCCGTTGAACAATTTCGGAAGAAAAATGTTTTGAAGCAGCAAGCATTAATGGTGTTATTCCTTGCTCGCCAATCTCATTTACGTTTGCTCCAACTTCCAAAAGATACTTAATATCATCTTTTGAAGTGTCTTTCTTAAACGCTTTTATAAGTGACAGGCTATCATCTTGATTATAACCCTCAATCGTAGTGTCCCTTTGTTCCATTCTGCTTCTTCGTCTATAAAATACAAAATATCAGAGATACAACCCAACTTAGGTAGTTTAGAAAATACATCACCAAGAAAATGCATTTTCTAAAATTTTGGGGTTCCCAGAGGGTAAATTTTAATTATGAATTTTACTTTTAGATTTTTATGAAACAAATTGCCTACATCATTATGTATGTTGTAATATTATACATTAATTAATAAGAGGTACTAAAGTATACTACTACACATTTAATTTTTAAATGTTATTATCGAATTCAAATATAAATCAACTATTTTAACTGAGCCAAGTATTGGATGATTGGAGGCAGTATTGATCAAATTTGCAAAGGGTTAATTTTATTCTCACCTGTCTCAACAAAACAGGAATATCCCAGAATTCATACAGTCATACTTCTCTTATGTAAACTATATCATTGATTGACCAAGGGTTCATCTATAATCCTGGGAAATGACCTCTTCTGGACGAAAAGCGTGGGAACATCTGATATGACCAGTTCCCATAACAGTGTGTCACCTCACTGTATGTACAGTGATCGCCTACTATTAAAAGTGCGTGATCAAAGACTCGACAAGATGCGCAAAATTCGAAATGTCGGAGGAAAGGTATGTTTGTTTCTCTTTTCTTTATCACCTTAATGACATTTTACCTACAGATGGTATTCCATATGCTGTATAAGAGACTCAAGATTCATTTGGTAACAGGATTCGGTGATTGGTTCAACCAAAATACCTGAACTGAGTTAATAAATGAAGCAAAATAAAAAAAAACTGCCAAATGAAAATGTATATTTCACCAAATTTTCTGTTTTTAGATTACCAAAACCACAAAACCAACATGCTTATGGTTAATATACATAATACTTAACATTACATGCATATCAGACGTTCCAACTCCCCTTCAGTATCGAGTAAGAAGGATGTTATGAAAACAATTTATGATCAGCCAAGTGGGTGATTTTACCATGTGGATTCTAATGATATGTTCTTTGCATTTCAGAGTGGTTGGGTTTACATGATTTTACTGTCCTTCATTACGAACTCCTAAATTTCAAATCATTATAAACCACCTTGTAGAACATCATGAAGAAGAAGAGATGAAGATGAGAAAGATTACTGAAAATAGAGGCAAATCTAGAATGATAACAAGAAATTTCTCTGGAATAATACCAAATGAAGTGAAATCAATAAATAAACACATACTTGTAGAAAGTGATGAATTCATGACAATTTCAGTGATTGACAATAATCGAATGAAATCATCCAGAATCTCTGATTCAACAACTGCTACAAAATCAAATAAAATTACCAATGAAATTGCAATAGAACGAGAATATCAATAAGTAATGAAATGACAATAAATGATTCTGAAATTACAATAGACTCTCATTCTCCAATAGTGTCCACCAGTTAATCTGAGATGATACCCCTCAGAGCAAAGCCTAAACTGGAACTTTTACTCGGTCCCATCGATCCACATAACTCTGTCATTAGAGATAATAGCATGGTATTTATTTCACATTTTGTAGAGTTTCTCTAAAAACGCTCACTGGTCGTTTATTTTGCATTCAATTACATACAATTCTAAAATTCTCAAGCTAATCACTTATAGACCTTAGTTGAAAATTGATCAATAAATCTACTGAATATTGAATACCTTAGAGGAGTTTTCCCTTATACCTGTCATTTATATATGACCCAAGTTAGCCACCTCGTGGTGAAACTGGGAACTGACTACTGGCATCTACTGAAGGTTATTACGTCATTACATTACTTATTGATACCTTGCTGCAAAAGAATGATTTAACTCCCCAATGAAATAGATAATGTACAATTCAGATTTTATATTTTATTACAATTACATTACAATTCGACAATCATCTTGGATGCCAAGGTGTATAGTTCTCATACCTTGGGATCAGAGGCGTAAAATAAATGGACTAAAATGGAACTTAAAAAACGGTTCCACTTGTAAGGTGTTACGCTTCAAGAGGTGTTTCACTTAGCAGGTTCTAGAGGTTCAGTGTATATATCATTTAATGGTAATGTATTCAAATCTAGGCAGAAAAACAAAATGAACACACACACAGTGACCATTTAATTGACTGAATCAGTTTGGACATACATTTTGCGAGATCCCCGTTTTCTTCTCTTGAAAAGCATATAGATATGAGTGTATGGTTTGCTGAAACTCACGCTATTGGCTGATCCATTCGTTTCTGTGTTAAAATATTTATTCCATGTTATTGAAGGGGAAACGTGAATTTCATCATGGTCAAATGGAAGTCCAAGACCCTACCTAAGTATAAAAAATTAAAGAGAGTTAAAATGTTCTATTGTTTTTGATATTTTCAAGCTTTTTAAATAAAATAACACATATTGTATCGCATTTATATCTTTAAATTGTAAAATCAATAACATATACGAAAAATGGTCAAACTAATATATATTTCTCAAAGCATATGGGTGTTCTTGTGCCTACAAAACCTAATTGAATCACCAGTAGCCTGTAATATAAACACAAATAAATCTTTTAAAAGTAACCGTTACAAAATATTTGAATTTTGCGCATCTTGTCGAGTCTTTGATCACGCACTTTTAATAGTAGGCGATCACTGTATATACAGTGCATCTGTCATTTCTCTGGAATGATGTACACTTTCCTCCAAAAGATTGAAAACAATTGTAGTACAGTAAAACCTGTATATCTGAACACTTGGCTAATCCGAACACCTCCCAATTTGAACATTTTTTGTTCCAGTTTTTTCTTCCATTGACTCAAATGTTTAAAAAACTTGAAATATGAACATCTCCCAATTTTGACAGTGAACAGTCATGTTTGAAAATTAACCTATCTAATCTGAACACATAAAATATCACATGTTCCATAAATTGATCAAATATTTGAAAAAAACTTGAACGATCTCACTCATGGGGCTTTCTAGGATGACTAAATTCATTTGAATCAGATTTTCATGTCACTCTAATGCCAAAGCTAAGTAGTCAAAAGAACTATAATATTTATTGAGAATTTGTTTCTATTTCTTCAAAAACCCAAATCTTGCAAATGCAAAACCTCACAATGTGAACACCTCCTAATCCGAACGCTCTGAGCTGGTCCCTTGGATTAGACAGATTTTACTGTAGGTACAATCCCCTCTAAAAGTTACTGAAATCACTGGCTGGGAATTGGTGTTCGCTTACACACAGGTGTTCAATAGAGTATACTCATATGTTCGCTGGGCACAGTATTTCACTAAAGAGATGTTCATTATGACAGTTTTACTGTACTGGGAATTGGTGTTCACTATACACAGGTGTTCAATAGAGTAGACGCATGTTTTCACTGGGCACAGATCTTCCATATCCAGCAATCGTAATGTTAAATCGGACATCACCTTATCTCCTAACTGGTACTATTACTGAGATTTCGTATCAACACTTTAGTCTACTAAATTAATGTTTAAAACTCATATATGTGAGCGTTAATGGAGGGGCATTTCATACAGGCTATAAACACCGCCCTTTCATCAAATGTGTTTTCTGGTTTCCTTAATTTCGCCAATTTCTTAAGAAATTGATGGATAATTTCAAGATTATATGATCAGACACATAAACATGGCATATACCACATTAGTTTCTCATATTTAGTTGTTGTTTTTTAGTTGTTGTTTTTTGTTGAACCATATATTACGTACATGGATAACTGTATTTTATTTACAAGTAGGCTGCATCTTGTATTGCCAAAACATAGCATCAAGTTTCACTAGAGCTGCATAGAACACTTCTTATCAGATGTGTTGACAGCTCTCCTGATAAAGAAAGTGTCTGGTAATTTCTGGATTTAAAGAGGTGTTCATTAGGATATTTTTACTGTACTGAACTCACTGGCTGGGACGGAATCGGTGTTCACTATAATATACACAGGTGTTCAATAGAGTAGAGGCATGTCACTGGGCACAGATCTTCACTAAAGATGTGTTCACTATGACAGTTTTACTGTACTGAAATCAATCACTGGGAATTCACTATATACAAAATTGAATTCTGTGTATCATGCCACCCCTGCAAAATAATTGACTTGCCCACTTGGTCTCTTGGACCCACTTGCAAAATATATATAGTAGATGTGAATATTTTCGAAACAAATGAGTGATATATACACATATTCTGTACCAAATGCGTGACATAAACGGCAATCGCGTGCAAAGACCGAACGGAATGCGTTCGCTTTTTTCGCCATTCGGTATTTTACCGTGTTGGCCAGGGGGGAGATTCCCCAAAGATGCCCTATCATATTAGCACGTTCGAAAACAAATTTTATAAACAGGCCTCAATTTGCCGTTGAAATGGATCTCCAAATTTTCACTGTAGTTTTATGAGTATTCTTTACAAGTATGGATCGAGTAACTTCAATAGTATTACCGTAGGTTTGAAATGACGATGTTGAACTGATGTAAACGCCATTCCCACGATTTCAAATTTAACTCTGCGCATGCGCAGCACTGAGAGAGTATGTGCCCATGATTGTTCACGTGATCGAATCCTGCAATTTGATTGGAGATGAAAAAAGCACTTGGTGAAAAATGTGTAAACCCTCTGGGAGCCACCAGCATGCATTTTCTTGGTGTTGTATTCTCTAAACTACCCCCAACTTATTCAGATTCTAAAAAACGGCAAGACAATGTCGCACCAAATTGAACAATCTTGGACAAAATTACCATTATTTTCTAAAGAATTGCCATGCAGAAAAGTGGAAAAGACTATGTATATATACCTGTAATATAATTTGATACTTACTGTATTCAATACGAGATATCTCCATTTACCCAAACGTCATCGTAGCCAACACTTCGAGGCGACTCAGTATTAAAAGCTCGAAGATCAACGCTATACGAATAAAACACGTTTTATCATCACTTTGTCATACGATAAATAGTTCTTAAGAAGGTCAACCGTTAGGGGTGTTGTTAATAGTTGACTACAATTTTAAATGAGTAATTTCGTGAACTGTAGA